ATCTGCTGAAACAGTAAAGAATCAATAACATACAAAGAGTTTTGCTGTTTCATTGAACGAATTATGGCATTTGGTTAACAGTAAATATTTAGATTCAATGCTGATAACTTGACATAAGCGCATAGTGAATATACACCTTACAAAATGTTAGCACTCTCATAATTTTCAACAACCAGGTTGAGAAACATGTATGAAAAAGATTAATTAGAAAACAGCACAAGTGTCATTTGTCGTCTGCAGAGGAAGTTACGCACACAAAATTCAGATAGCCATTTATTTAGATGTTTAACAGCATTCTAAGGCTTCAGAACTTCTAAACTGCAGATAAGCAAGATGTCTGAAATGATTTTAATGAATATCTTAATTTAGTTAATATCTTATGGTTGAAATGCTAGACTGAAAACAATTTTAACTTAATTAGCTGGCACACCACTTCTACCAACAAAGAATAAAAATGCATGGTTCAACACTTTTCTTGGAGCATGAGAAATACAATACCCTAAATAGGTTGTAGTGGAATAGCAGAGAGAAGATTCTCGGTCAAGCAGGAGAAACATGACACTGATTATGTGGATAATTATGATTAGATTTATTGCTAATACAGTATCTAAAACATTGTCAATGCAGTATATAATATAAGCAAGTCTAAAGGGCTATTTTATCAGCAGGCTCAGCTAGAAACACAGAGGTTTACCATCTTTGTTGCTTTGTAATTGTGCATTCTGTAAAGTCAAAGCACCTGTGGAGCTGCTTTAGGATTGTTATCTCCATATGTGACTGGATCTTTGTGCTTTTATTCACCCATTCAAATTGAGTGTTCCCCATCATTAGGCTGGACATACCCTGACAGTGTGGATCCACACAGAAATTGTCTGTAACCTCAGGAGACCAGTTAGCCCAGTTTGCCCAGACTCCAACAGCATTTATCCCCTTTTGCAGGCCAATGTGTACCAAAATCCATAGCAACCATCTCACCTCTCCAATCTATGGAATGTATTAATGATGCAGACAGTTCCTTTTGCAATTCCGACATTGTTTTCTGACTTAGGACAATTCCCACTTGGTGTTCTTATCTTAGGACAAATCCTACTGCCCACTGGAGACAATTGCAGTGGATAGAGGAGGAGAGGGGAGAGAACACACATGAAGACCCAACTATCTTTCACAAGAAAATGCTACCTTTTTAATGTGAAATATTAAAATATTTAATATGAAATATTAAAAATGGGAATCGACAGTAATAAAAGACAGGTTTTCACTTAGACTACTTAAAAGAAATGCTAGTGCAGAGTATATCTGATTTGAAAACTTATAAGCATCTCAAATAGAGGTAGCTAAGAAATCAGAATCTCTACGTATCAGAAATGTAAGAGTGTAATACTGTAAAAGTAGCTGTACTGGGTTCAGCTACGGAGGTTTTTCTCCCAGTATCCTGGACAGGGACTGAAAGAGGAAGACTCAGTAAAAGTATAACAGTGAAACCATACACAGTATCTTTTTCCTGAGTGCTTAGCACTTGACCCCTTGCAGCTGGGCAGCTTCCACAGTTAGACCAGGTTGCTCAGAGCCCCATCCAACACTTCCAGGTATGGGGCATCCACAGCTACTCTGGGCAACCTGTTCCAGCACCTCACATTGAAGAATTTCTTCCTAATAACTAATCTAAACCTATTCTATTTCAGTTTGAAGCCATTCCCATTTGTCTTGTCATTACATACTCTTGTCATCTTGTTGCTCTTCTCTAAGTCTTCTCCACTTTTTTCTACATCAATAACTAAAAAAATATATGTATACGGGATATAGTTTTGTGAAAAAGGATCAATACTGTAAAAAGAG